GGCTAATGGACAAAGTTAACCCATGCTTGGATTCCTCTTGCAGCACACATAGAAGGACCGTTCAGGTAAGTCAACGGTCGTTTTGTGAATATCTCTATATAATCCTTTTTAAGCCATCCATGGCAATTATAACCATTCATGCTTTATGAAGCAATTCTGTAAACAAGGCATTTTTCTCTCTAGAATTTATTTTGCAATTAATACATTATATTATATTATTTCCTTCACCCTCCCTCCCAAAAGTAGGCATTCTTTATTCAGGACTATTATAAAATGTCATCATATATATGAAATACGATACTTGTTTTCTCAAACGTATTCAAGTCTTACTGCTTTTTCCAGGATTTACTCAGAGTGCTGGCACCTACCCTGGAGAAAAATAGGAAGAACAGAGGATTGGCAGAAGGTCCAAAGCTCCAATGTCTAAAATGTAAACAAGAATTCCTTGGGTTCCAGATACTTCAGTTACAAAGTCAGGCTACAAAAGAGGGTACAGCCATGTCTGAGCAAGGTATAGTGTATTGTTTAGGCTAATATCTTTTTATCTTACTTTTTTTTCTGTGCTGTTGGAATAATGGAGTGAGGGGTCTGTGACCAATGGCAACTGTCACCAACCTTTCAGAGAGTTCCCTTAGAATTTTAAGCATGTGTTGTGAATTATGAAACAAAATATTATATCAACCATATCCCTGCTTATCTTTTATGGGGAAATTGATTGATTATGTCATCAAGTCATTGTTGGCCCTTAGCAACCACATAGATTTTCTCCATGGTGATTTGTCTGTTACTTGGCATTTTGTATCTTTCAGCCCTACGTAGACCTGTGGCCACTGTAACAGAGTCTATCTACTGTGCTGCTGCTTGTCCTCTTTTTCTCTTTCCCTCCACTTTTCCTAGCATTAGATCCCTTTCCAGAGAGCTAGGTCTTCTCATAAAGTGTCTGAAGTGGGGTGATTTAAGTCTGGTCATTTGTGTCTCTAATGAAAACCCTGGATTGATTTCTTCAGTAATTCATTTGTTTACTTTCTTGGCACTCATGGTATTTTCGAGAGTCATGTTCTGTTTTCACTTTACATATTACAAATGAAATATTAGAAAATAATTAGTATTCTGCATACAATTTATGCATCTGGGGAAATAAATATACTGTAAATAAACAATAGAGTTGTTGCTACCAATCATTATTTTCCAAAAAAGCATATGAAGCCCATTTGACCTGATTAATTCTTGGAAATCAAATTAAGCTGGTGCTTTGCAGTGCGGTATGCCAACTTTTCATTTATTTACAATCAAAGTTAATCTTTTAATGTAAACTGTATTGGGAGACAAGCGACTGGAGAGATAACAAGAACCATGTACAAGTCTTAATTTTGATCTGAAATTAGTTGGGCTGGGTTCCCATTAACATTTGTTTGCTAATATATTTTTTAGATTCCCCTACAGAACTAGAACTTTGAGTTATCCTATATTAAGCCACATTTTAACTTTTTAGTGCCCGATTTCTGTATTCTGTTATGAATATGTCACAGTGGAATTTCAATATATGAGGTGTTGGACCAAAATTGGGGTGACCAAGGTCAGGTCCCAGGTCTGCTCCCAGTTTCGTTAATTACACTGCATGACTCTGAGCCAGTCATTCTAAATCAATTTACAGGGAGGGAGGGAGAGAAGAAGGGAGAGAGGAAGGAAGGAAGGAAGGAAGGAAGGAAGGAAGGAAGGAAGGAGGGAGGGAAGGAAGGATGGATGGATGGATGGATGCAAAATAAGTTACCTTGAGCTCCTAGAGAAAAAAGAGAATAAATATAGCAAAATATAAGAACATGATTTTTGTTTGGCTTTATGTTTATTATATCTTTAAGGTAAAATATTACATTATTTGATATATTCATTTGAAGCCATATTTAAATGGATTTCTTTTAAAAGGAAATTACTCTGACATTCTATTTGATTATTGAGAAAAATGTTTGCTCAGGATTGTATGTAAAAAGCTGAAGTGAAAACTCTATAAAACACTGGAGATAATTATCTGGAGATTAAAGAACAGAGTGCAGAATGTGCTGGGTGGCTGGTTCCTGAGATTGGTTGGGGAATGAGGATTTTGGAAAGAACCTGGTATTTGATTTATTGGACTATGATGCAAAGGAATGATTTTCCTGTCTCCTCAGAAATTGCTGCTTCCAGTGAGACCATTATCTGTCCTGGTTGCTCTAGTGATCATGTGGTAATCATACCATGTGAGAAGAATTCGAATGCTCTAGTGTTTTCTCAGGATTCCTTCAATGAAAGCCAACAAGAGGCAGAGTCCGGAAAATTTTACATTGGTGATGACAATCATTCTGAAACAGGAACCAGTTCCAGCACCCAGATTCAAGAACTTAGTAATGAGCATGGCAGCGCAGCCCATTCCAGTTCTCGCAGTTCTGAAGGAGTGGAAGCTTTCAGGAGGGATTTGAGCTCCAAAAGTCGATATTCCTCCCTCAGCCACACAGATACCAATGGAGGAAGCTTGATGGGAAGCTACCATTATGGTCCTTCCAGTGGTCACACCCCTTCCCAGCTGTCCTTGAGCTCAGAGCATGAGGAGCAGTGGAACCTTAGTCCCCGTGAGTAGTTACCTACTAACAGCTAATATGGGCCTTGGTGTGGTATAAATCTGTGGAATCACGGGAAAGCAATGGCCTTGGGAAACCATAGCAAGATCCTCTACTCAGATCCAGTTTAATACACATGTTAAATTACTTCCCTCCCAGCAACCTCAACATTTTATTCTTTAGTGAATATATGGTTATTTTGAATCAGCAGTAAAACAAGAGCACCATCTGCTGGTTGTTAAGGCTATGTATGGCTATTATTTTAAAAGCCTTTAATGATTTTCAGTTGTTACTGTATTTAGAATGCACCCACAGGTTTGTTCAGTATAGAGTATTAAGTTTTAATAATAATAGCATAGAAATTGGTACTGATAAATTCAGGTTAAACAGTAAAAAAAGAAAGTTAGGCATGCTGCAGCCCCTTAGAACTCAGAAACACCAACATTTTCTGCCTGTTTCCACCTAAGGACATATATGTGATTCTGTTTAAACATCTATTGTCTGAGTGGATATCTGCATCATTCTCAGATTGCTACAAATGAAAATGATGGTTGGAGATTTATATATGTGTGTACATATGTATGCATGTATTTCATTTCATTTCAGTGTGTTGGTTGGAGTCACTTAACAATTTTCATATTTTAAAAAAGAGTCTATATTAAAAAACAGTGTGAATGAAAAGTGCATGTTTGAATTTGTCACATAAACCAAATTCATCTGCCTTGTGTGGAAAATGGTGGCCACTTCCTAAATTGCGTTGCATAACAAAGCAACTTGTTTTGCTTTTCTAAGGAGCACTGAGCGATAGAGAAGCAGAATGGGTTGTTTTGTCATGTGGCTGTGCGATGTGATTCTGAAAGCAGCATCTTAAATGATACTATTGATCACTCAACATTGAAACCAATTTATTAATTCTTAACATTTTTCTTTTTAGCTACCAACAGTATGTTAGGCATGCGAGACTTATTCTCTGTGGACCATAGGCTAAAACTTTATTTAGATATGGAAGTCTTTGAAAAGGTAGAAGAGTTCAAATGTTTTTTCAAGGTATGAAAAGCAATTCTCCATAAAATTGCTATTGGGAGCATACCTGGAATTATTGTGGCATAATTATTTTCGCATGCTCCTTCTAGGTAGCGGTTGTGAAAAATGGACGGCCTGGGGAGTTCTTGGCTCTCTTGGTGGCTTCAGATGTCCGACTTCATGTGTTGGAGATAACTGGAGAGATAAAGTGAGTAGTGCTGTTTAGGGTTGTATCTGTATGCTTAGAAGTTTGTCTTAAACTAATCTGTCTGTCTGTATCTCTGTTATATGGAATCAGACACTGTAATCGTGGAGAACTTTCCAATTTCTTGATTTCTGAGATCTTTCAGCAGGAGATGCTAGCAGCTGAATTAGGATTTTTATTCATAGAAAACAGTTATATCACTGAGCTGTCGCTCCTCTGCATTTTAATTTCTATTCCATTCTTAAGAACAACCAGAGCAGTCTTCAAAACAAGATAAAATTCCAGTGCAGTAAACCTAACACCTTAATGTTTAAGTATAGCAAAAAGCCTGTCAAAATAATAAAAAAATTGGCATTGAAGATTTAATGTTACATTATGCCAGTCAAGCCTTTTTGAGGAGGGAACTCCATACTAAGAAAATTATGAGTTCGATCACCACTTAAAATATCTTGGATGGGAGAACAAGGAGTTCATTTATATAGTGGTTTGTTGCAGAAGCATATGTTCTTCTAAACTGATAAAAATGCAATTAATCTTTCTCACTGTTATCATTTGCCGAACAGGCATCCTCTTTTTTTTTTTCTGGTAGAGTAGACATACCTTGCTGTATGGTGACATGCTATTTGGTTCATCTGCCAGGGGACAACCATCAGATTGGCTGAAGAAGGGAGACTGTCACTTCCTGTCTGACCTCTCTTGCTTAGAGGTGGGGTTATGTCATCAAAGCTTGCATGTGGAGTTTGGGAATCCCTCTGTCTCCTACATGCTGCTGTTTCGCAACCAGAGCCACTGCAGAAGATTTCTCCAATGTTTGACATGTAAGAAAAGATATTGGGCTATGTTCATGATCTAAGTTTTTTGTCTGGTTGTCAGCCAAAAATATCAGTCTGAAGATAGCTTGTATGATACTCATCTTACACCCAGTTGTTTAACAGCCATTCAAAGTTACAATGGCCTTGGAAATGATGCTTTACAGCACTTACAAACGATTGCCAAACACCTGTGATCATGTGATTGCTATCTGCAAGCTTCCCCAGAAAATCAATGGGGAAGCCAGCAGGGAAGGTTGCAAGCTGTGCTGTCTGCTGAAAGGACTCCCTCTCCATGTCTGGGGGCTGGCTTAAAGAGTGTTGAACTACAGTAGGGTGCAGAAAGAGAGCTCAGATCCTGAAGATCCAAGCTCCATTCTTGCAGCCGCCAGAGCAGTTTCCTTCTGTGCATGGAGGAGAATCAAGCTCCTTTTGTGGAGTAACAGAGTTCACATCCCGAAGATGTGACCTCTGTTCCTTCAAGCTGCTGGAGCAGTCCTCTTCTCCATACAAAGGGGTGCTGAACTTGTCAGTCAGTTCTTTCACTCCATCTGCTTAATGACTCAGGAGATCATTTAACGGCTGCAACCAGGAGTGCCAGGACTGCAGTAGTTAAGCAAAACAGTCACGTGGGTGTCTCATTTAACGAATGCTTTTCTCAGGGATCATGAATCCAGTCCCAACTGTCCTAAGCCGAGGACAACCTGTATTGCTAAGTGCTAGTATCAGTAGACATCTACAGACTTAGAATTCAGAGGCAACAGTCTAGACCTTTTTGCTGGAAGATTCACCCTCTGTTATCAAGGCTTCTTTTAATGTCTTCATGCAGACCTCATAGAAGAACTGCCAACAAAAAGCAGGAGTAAAATCCCAGACAGCACTATGGTAGAAATGAACTCACAGCACCCATTATGGTAAGAAGCTTGTTACTTTTATACTGTGTAAGTAGGTAGGCTTAGAGTTGATGTGGCATGCCTAGGAGATGCAGTGGGAGGAGGTTCAATTTCTACGAGAGGTAAATTAAGGCAAGGGATGGTAAGTGAAAGTGATGATACTAGGTGTGTTGCTAATTATTTGTGTCTGTGCTGTAGGCCATTGATTGATAAGGATCTTGCAAGAGAAGCTGCGAGTGGTTCAACCAGACCATTCTTCTACTTACTGACATACCTCATCCAAGGTATGAAGACCGCTCTGTGTGTATGTGTGTGCCATTGTTTTTTCAATGATAACAAGAATATAGCACAATCTTGTTCATTGGACTTTTATAAGTGGCCCAAGCAACTCTTTTTTCCAGGATCTTCTGCATTTCCTGTGACTTTGCTGAGTACTCGTAGTAATATATTCCTGGTGGAAGAAGATCATCAGCGGCAACAGGCCCAGCCTTCCTCTGGCTCAGGCAGTGATGTTGAGAAACAGCCCAAGGACTGCATCCTGCTGAAAGCAAGTGAGCCAATCAGCAGCATCAGTGGTGTAGTACTTTACCGTTTCTCCCCTTGTGATGTAAAGCTGCAACTTTATGATGAGGTAAAAAAAATGATGCTCGAGATTTCCTTCTAGGATATTAAAAAGTTTACAGGTGTGGGTACCATTAAAAATGGCTACCAAGAAAACATGAGCATTGCTGTACAGTTAATTTATCTCTAATTCTACATATCTTTTACTATGCTCAAAACAAATTATGCCTTTGGTCCATTTGAGTTTGGAGTGGAATTTGTATCTAGAAATATATCTTTCCTCCCAATGGAGACCTGTTAACTGCAGTCAGTGTGAAGGCTATTCCTGGTAAATTGAACACCACCTTTCCTTTTGCAGGTCTTAAAGGTGGAAAGCACTTGGCATTTGCGCACAGAATGTCCTGACTTGCTGGCTGAATTGGTAGAATGGCTACGTGTGCCCTGGGAAGAAATGTTCTCAATTGCTCTCCGTAAGACAGTATTAGAAGTGTTGGAGTGAATTGACTCTCAACTACAACTTTACTGTTCCTCTGAGATTAGATGGGTGATTCTTGGATCACCTTCCAGTCTTCGTGGCTCATAACAATTTTAAATTTTGCTGCCATTGGGAGTTTTAACAACATTTGAAAACTGCAACTGGGTAATAGGTATGCATCCTCTTTCTTCATATCCAAAGATCCTTGGATGTATAAAAATATATTCAGTTGACTGTGCATGGGTCTTATCCTGTGCACTAAGAGTCAGGCCAGTCTGGCAGAATATTTTCTATTGTACTGAAAAAGATTCCAGAGTTTCTTCAAGACTGTTCCTGCACTTGTCACTTTTGGTTGGATAGCAGCTGCTGGAGATTATGGTGGAAGTTACACAAAGGAATTTGATTGTTCGGGATTATGCAGAGAACTGGATTGTGATGGATCAGAAACATGAACCTGGGAACCCTCACTGCAAATCTGTAAACTTTCTCACTATTTTGGCTTCATTTTGCAGAATTCATCATTCAGACTGGTCTAGAATTTAGACTGCAATCCATGCTGCGCGTGCTGGTTATTGGAATGGGGATTCTGAGAAATTTTTTGCATATTTTTATCTCTGGGCATGTAGAGATATTTGTGCACTCAGGGGAAAAGTCACTGGAAGCCATCGCCTTCCCTGGACAAAACAAAGATAAATTTTAAGTGTAAACTTTTATATGTGGTGTTAAATAAAAGTGCTTTTTATGAGCTGTTTGCTTTTTCTTGAGATGATTTGGATGAATATTTTGGAGCTAGTAGCCATATTTGAATTTTGAGAAGATACTGGTGCTATTAAAAAAGGCCAGCAAGTAGAAAATTGGAGAGAATGGCAAGAGGGAAGAAATCAGTTGTCAGACAAATATAATTAAACTTATATGTTCCAGTTAGTAGTGGATAGGATTTCTCAGTGATTATCTTAAATAAAAGGGCCACAAAGGTGAAGTGATTTCCAATGTTTAAAAAACTCACAACTTTACCATGAACTTTGTGAAGTTGGAAAATCTTAGCTGGGAGTACCTGCCAAAAGATTTATATTATCTAGTGCTGATATTTGATAATTTTATAAAATTGTTTATAGAGAGAGAGAGCACTATTACAACAGGTAGTTCTCATTTAGCAGCCACAATTGAGACCAGAAATTTGGTTATTAAGTGAAACTATGACTACATATATTTTATTTCTGCTTTCTTTTGCTTTACAGCCCTTGGAAGATCTGGTGTCATCGGTTTTTTCCATCACCACTGTAACTGCTAACAATTATTAAATGAGGAATTGTTAACTGAAGGCTGCCTGTATTTAGTTGAAAAAACCTTGGCTACCAGCCGTATTCTTCACAGACATGTGGGAATAGCTAGATTTAGATTTTGGAAACAATAGACCGTTGGCTTACCTGAACAGTCGTTCTCGGGGCACTGCTCAGAGAGTCCAATGCTGGGTTAACACAGCCTATCTGCCCTTGGACTGAGTGATGTTTTTAGTTGACCACGCCTCCCTTTGCCTCTGCATGCTCAGTTCGAAAACGAAGGAAACCGTCCTGTAATCAGTTACAGTCAATACAGTCACAGCGTTCAATATAATAAACACCCCGGGCGGGTTTGGAGTCTCCTCGCAGTGCCCCGAGAACGACCGTTCAGGTAAGCCAATGGTCTTTCTCCAGTGCACTGCTCAGAGAGTCCAATGCTGCGCCATGGCCAAGCTATTGAGTCCCAGGGTGGGGAAGCGCCGAAGCCTCTGGCATTTCAGCCACTCTTTGTAACTGATTACAGGACGGTTTCCTTCGTTTCCGAACTGAGCATGCAGAGGCAAAGGGAGGCGTGGTCAACTAAAAACATCACTCAGTCCAAGGGCAGATAGC